GAGGAAGGAGGAGGAGGAGGAGGGAGGAGGAGGAGGGGAGGGAGAGGAAAGGAGGGGGAGGGAGGAGGGAGGAGGGAGGGAAGGAGAGGAGGCGAGGAGGAGGAGCGAGGAGAAGGGAGGAGGAGGAGGAGGGGAGGAGGAGGAGGAGGAGGAGGAGGAGGAGCGAGGAGGAAGAGGAGGAGGAGGAGGATCGGAGAGCGGCGACGGGCCCCCCCGCGGCCAGCCGCACGGGCGCCTCCTGGTGCTGCCAAGGCGCCTCCGCCGCCGCGGCCGCCGCGCCGCCGCCCGCGCCGCCGGGCCCGGCCGGGCCGGGCTGCTGCGGCCTCGGCACGCCACGGGAGGGGCTCGCGGTGCAGCGGCGGGAGGCGGTGGGGTGGGGGTGAGGCGGTGCAGCGGTGCCCGCGGTGCTCGCGGTGGGGGGGGGTGAGGCGGTGGGAGGGGCTCGCGGTGCAGCGGCGGGAGGCGGTGGGGGGGGGTGAGGCCTGGGCACGCGCTGGCATGGCGTCGTCGTCGTCGTCGTCGTCGTCGTCGTCGTCGTCGTCGTCGTCGTCGTCGTCGTCGTCGTCGTCGTTGGCGGCGGCGGCGGCGGCGGCGGCGGCGCGCCGGGCGCGCCGAGGGGCTGGGCGGGGCGAATACCAGGCCCTGGCTGCGGCAAAGGGCAAGGGGATGGCGGCCCCAGTCGAAGTGGCGTGAAGGTGGAATAGGGCGGGGGGGAACGGCCTCCAGCAGGAAAGAGCTTCTGGGACGGACGCGATCGGGAGGCGGAGTGGGGGGGGGGGCAGGCTCGGGCGCGCGGTGGCATGGTTTACGGATCCGTGGATCTGGCGCGTGGGCACCAGGTCCATGGATCGGGGACGGTACCCCCCAGAACGTTGAAGCCAGTGCTGCCCGATGTGGCGCGACGGAGCGCGTCGATGCTGTGCGGAGGCGGTGCGCGTCGCTGATCCACGCGCCCGAGTCCGTGCCGGCGCGTCCTCGAGGGACGGAGACGGCATTGGGGGTGCATAGCTGTACCAGGCAGCGCACCAGCTGGAGGCGCATTGGGTGAGCACGAGCCAAAAAAGAGGCACCTGTGTGCCAGCCTCGGCTCCGACGGGATCCTGTCGCGGACATTCGCAAACGGCGATGCCCGAAGACTGCTCTGCCGCGAGCTCCAGAAGTGGCACGGAAGAGCTACATGTACGCAGGGTCAGCCAGCTCCACATCGCAAGACATGGGATGTGATCGAAGCGTGCGCCGGATCGGGCCGTGTCGGCACGGAATCGACATCGAATCGGCTCGGCTGCGCCGAGATGCACAACAAGCCCGTGCCAGCATCGGGCAGCACCGAGTCGTCGGAGTATCGGAATCGAGTCGGATCGAGACGACCGGAATCGACACCGCATCGGATCGATCTGATCGAACGCGACCCCGGGAGGAGGAGGAGGGCCAACGTAAACCCAAGATGCATCAACGGTGCTGCAATACACCCTCCCGTCTCAAGTTCACTCCCCATCAGTTCCAACAAACATTAGTTTCCACTGCAGCAAGTGCCCCCTTGACAGACGAACGCCCCGTGGGGCTGTCGGGCGGGACCCCGTGTTGTAAAAGATCCATGGAAGGGGGGGCGAGGAGGATGACAGTGACGAGAGGCAGGGGGGAGGAGAAGGAGGAGGAGGAGGAGGACGAAGAGGAGGAGGAGGAGGAGGAGGAGGAGGAGGAGGAAGGAGGAGGAAGGATGAGGAGGAGGAGGGAGGCGGACGACTGAGACAAGGCGGATAGGGGAGGGAATGCGGGTGGGAGTTTCCCCCTCCCCCCTCCCCCCTCGCTCTGGGAATGTGCAGGTAAGCCGCGCTGAGAGGCGGCCCGAGTTTCGCTGAGGTGCCTCTCGACCCTATCGTCCTCGGTGCGCCCCTGGCTGATTTCTGCTGTTGCTCCTCCTTGAGTAAGGCTGCTATCGTGTTGGGATAGGGGAGCAAAAAGTGGCATAAACATGAAAACTCGGATGTCCGCGCGGATTTCTCGGATCGGTGCTGGACCCCCCTCCCTGGCGCGCGGAGCGCGCCAGGGGCGGCGCCCGAGGCGCCGTCAGGGGGGTCCAGCGCGGATCCGAGAAATCCGCGCGGACCTCCGAGTTTTTATGTTTATGTCACTTTTGTTCCCCTATGGGAGGACGGGGTTGGGAAGATACACGGCACGACTGTGCAACAAACACACCCAGCATACGCGGCAACACGGATGCTGTGCTCATCTCTCCCACCCCCATCCCCCCAACCCGAAAATTGGCGCTCTGCTCCGTTCCCCACCCCTCCCCCCACCAGCGAGAGGGAGAGAGGCGAGTACCCCCGCGCTTAGCTGCCCCGATGCGCAACACGCAACACGTGGCGTGTTGATACGGAGCTCAACACGTGGGCCGAATACGCGGGTCCGACGCGATACGCTCGCCAAAACGTGGGCCAATCCGTGGAGTCAACATGCAACGTACCCAGACCCCCGACGTCATGATTTTTTCATGACGTCGACCCCCCGAGGTCTCGACCCCTTCCCTGGGACCGGTTTTTCGTCCTGAGTCGTTTTTTGACGCTCCCGAGGCCCGGTGAGGGCCCCCAGAGGCCAAAAATAGCGAAAAACCTCCCGTCGTGATTTTTTCATCACTCGAGGGGGTCTGGGTATTGACGCGGACGTCTGGAACACGGGACGTGTTGCGTTTCAGTACGGGCGCATCGAGACAACGAAGCCCCCGCGCGCTCTGGCCTCCCGAAGCACCCGGCGGCCCGCCCCCTTTGGCTCGCCGCGGGCCCTCGGTGCCGGAGCCCGACGTGCTCCCCCGCCCGGTGCCCGATCTCACTCGGGCTTTCGCTTGCTCCCGGCGTCCTGCAGGGGGAGCCCGAAGCCGCCAATGCCGCTGCTGCTCCTCCTCCTCCTCCTCCTCCTCCTCCTCCTCCTCCTCCTCCTCCTCCTTCGCTCCTCATCCTCCTCCTCCTCCTCCTCCTCCTCCTTCATCCTCCTCCTCCTCTCCTCCTCCTCCTCCTCCTCCTCCCTCCCTCCTCCCTCCTATCCTCCCCCTCCCCCCTCCCTACCTCCCTCCCTCCCTCCCTCCCTCCCTTTCCTCTTCCCTCCTCCCTCCTCCCTCCATCCCTCCTCCCTCCTCCCTCTTTTTCCTGCCTTCCGCGGCTTCTCCTTCTCCTCCCCCTCATCCTCCCTCCTCCTCCTCTCCTCCTCCTACTCCTCCTCCCCCTCCCCCTCCTGCCAACCCTCCTCCTCTCCTCCTCCTCCTCCTCCCTCCTCATCCTCCTCCTCATCTCCTCCTCCTCCTCCTACTCCTCTCCTTTCCTACTGACAGTGATTCCTGGAGCGAGCCCAAGCCCGTTGCGTTTTGCACGAGGGGCCCACAAAGCAACGGAGGCGGGTGGAGGGGTTCTTTTCGCGGACGAAAAAGAGCGGTTAAAGAGAAAAAGCAGAAAGAAGAAGCGGCGGTGTGCACTCATTCGACGCAAAGGTCCCACGTGCATCTCATTTTCCATGGCACTTCCCGCCGTGAGCGTCTGCATGAGGGTCTTCGCGTGTGGCGACGGAGCTTTCCCTGGCGGCTCCCCCTTGTAGCGCCCAAGGGCTATGCCTGCTACATCGTGATGATCACGGAGCTCTGAAAGCAGTGGAGCCAGGGGCGCCAAACGAGCGGCATCCCACAAACTGGGCGCGAGCGGGCAAGTGTAATACTCCCTGGCGGCTCCCTTTGGGATGCTCAGATTCTGTGCCTGCTACATCGCGGTGATCACAGAGCTCTGAAAGCAGAGGAGTCTCAGGCGCCAAACGAGCGCATAGCTCGAGACATCCTCATTATCTGGGCGCGACGAGCAAGTGTAACACTCCTTTGCGGATCCCCCTTAGGGTGCCCAAGTGCTGTGCTTGCTACTTCGCGGTGGTCATGGGGCGGAGTCGGCGAGGCCAAACGAGCATATCGCTCGAGACATTTTTCATAGTCTGGACACGAACGAGCAAGTGCAACACCCCCTGGCGACTCCCCCTTTGGAGTGCCCAAGTGACATGCCTGCACCGTCGCGGTGATTGCGGGTATCTCAAAAAAAGTGGGGTCGGCGAGGCCAAACAAGCGCACCGCCCGAGACATCCCCACAATATCGACGAGAACTGGCAAGTATAACATTCCCTGGCGGCTCCCCTTGGGTTGCCACAGTGCTATGCCTACTACGTCGCGGTGATCACGGGGCCCTGCAAGGAGAGGAGTCGAGGGCGCCAAACGAGCGCGTCGCTCGAGGCAGCCCCACAACCTGGGCGCTGGGTGCGAAGGGGCAGGCGTGACACCTCCTGGCGGCACCTGCGACGTCGCGGTGAGCTCTGAGAGTGGGTGAGGTTTGCGTGTAGCTGAGTATGAACGGATAAGGCCGCGGGCGGGGAGATCAGGGTGTGACTTAGCCTGAGTGCGAGTGAGTCTGCATGCACAGATCTGAGTGTGAGTGGGCTGTAATCTGAGTGAGCTGAGCGTGAGTGACTCCGAGTGTGAGTGAGCTGAGTACGAGTGGATCTGAGTGTGGACGTTTGAAGTCGAGTGTGAGTGAGCTTGGGTATGAGTGAATATGAGTGAATGTGAGTGTGTCTGAATGTGAGAATATCTGAACATGAGTGAGTCCGACTGCGGAGAGGAAGGAGGAGCGGGAGAGGGAGGCGTCACGCTGGTGAAAGGAGCCCCTCCCTGGGGATGGGTGCATCAGCGTTTCCAGCCGCCCTGGGACAAGGGCGCAACCGACGGCAGGACGATTACTGAATGCTTTGCGCACCGCTTTTGCGTCCGCTGAGGTCTCGGTATCGGTACCGCGCTTTTCTCACCTGGGGAATATTGCAGCGAAGGGGAGGGGTTTGGAACTCTGACGACGGCGCGGCCGCCCGACCCGTTAGTCCCCTTTGCCGAAAGTGAACCGACGACGGCGCGGCCAGAAAACCCCTAAGTCGCTTTCTATTGGAGTCGCGCTAGTGATATCGGTGCCGTGCTTGTCTCCCCTGACCTGCGGAGTCGCTCGCCGGCGCGAGCGACGCCACAGGCCCACCGCCAGCACGACGACCGACGCGAGCGTCGGTGGCGCCCACCTGCCTGCGAGCTCGCGGAGCTCCGCGGGGCCCTCGCCCGGAGCGCCCGTGAGCGCCGAGAAGTCCATCGCCGGCGGGCCAGGCTCGCCTGGGTCGCGCACCACCTCCTTCTCCTCCTCCTCCTCCTCCTCCTCCTCCTCCTCCTCCTACTCCTCCTACTCCTCCTCCTTCTCCTGCTCCTCCTCTCCTTCCCCTCCATCACCGCTGTCCTCCTCCTGCCTCCTCCTCCTCGTCCAGCTGCCAAGTCGATCGCGGGGTGACGCCTGACAAATATGGAACTATCGCCTCGTGGGGTGTTGCTGGTTTTGTGTTCTACATCCACCTCCCCATTCCACCACTCCCTCCCTCCCTGTCTCCCCCCATCCTCTGTCCTTCTCCTCCTGCCCTCCCTGCCTCCCTCATCGTTTCCGCCCTCCTCCTCCTCGTCCCCTCGTCCTCCTCTCGTCCTCCTCCTCCTCCTCCGCCTCTCCGCTCGCCTCCTCCTCCTCCTCCCTCTCCTCCTCCTCCCCTCCTCCTCCTCCTCATCATCATCATCAATCATCATTCCTCATCATCATCATCTCATCATCACATCATCATCATCATATCATCATCATCATCATCATCATCATCATCATCATCATCATCATCATCATCATCATCATCATCATCATCTCCTCCACCTCCTTGCTTACGAAACGCCATCGGGCGTCCCCTGCCCCGCTCGCGCGCACGAGCCCCCCCCCGGCGGGCGGGAGGCCGGCACAACGCTCTTTCGGGGGCGCCGCAGGCGCTACCCGGTGACCCTTTTCGGAGAGGGGGAGGAAGGGGGAGAGGCCACCAACACTTTCTGCTACACATCCAGAGGCCCACGAGGATGATGATGATGATGATGATGATGATGATGATGATGATGAGGAGGAGGAGGAGGAGGAGGACGACGACGAGGAGGATGAAGAGGAGGAGGACCAGTGTAAACCCAACACTCATCAACGATCTTGGAATACACCCTCCCTCCGATATCCTTCTTCATAATCCCCTACAACGGATCATTTCCAGTGATGGAACCGATTCTGACGATCCTTAATCGTGCCAAAACACAGTTCTCAGGACTTCAACACCGCGAATAAACTGAACTTCTGCACCCTTGCAATCCTGAGTCCTTCGAAAACACCATTTCTGGTGCGTTGACCATGGGAATCCGTGAACTCGAACTCTTGAAGAATAGTGTGCGCGGCGCTAGAGCGAGAGCCACATGTCGAAAACGAGCCGCCTTCAATCCGTGAAGCTCTTGCAAGATTAGAACAAATTCGCGCGGCACTCAAGCGATAACCACGTTTTGAAAACGAACCGCCCTCAATCCGGGAAGCTCTTGCAAATGTCTAAGAAGAGTGTGCGCGGCGCAAAAGCGAAAACCACATTTCGCAAACCGTCCGCCCTCAATCCGTGAAGCTCCCGCAAATTTTGAAAACGACTGTGCGCGGCGCAAAGGCGAGAGCTACATTGAAAAACAGCTTCCTTCCATGTGCGAAACTGCTGCAGTTTCTAAGCTTCAGGGTCATACACCGCGAAGAGGTCCCAAGCGAAACGCCCGACCCACTCTGTCGACCGGCCTCGGAGTGCGACAGGGAGGAATTACTCATAAGGAACAGGAATGGAGGAGAAGGAGGAGGAGGAAGGGAAGGAGGAGGAGCGGCCAGGCCGCGCATGATGTACTTGATGTCCACGTGGTATCTTGTCAGTAATAAAATATTCGCAACACCCTTATCCGTAACGTTGCGCCAACCCTTGATGTTATGCCGGCAACATGTTGCACAAATGATCACAAATGGCTTGACATCTTCGGCTTCCGCCCGATTGTAGCTCTGCCGACCGTGGATTTTCGGCCGTCCCCCCATCGGACCGTAGTCTGCAGGGCGTCGACCTGTATTATTGTGAAGCCCACGTACTTCTTGCCGAACATCCCCTCGACAATATCACCTATGGTGGTCCGTGCGGTGGCGCCCTTCCGTCTCGTCGATGCCGAGCTTCTCAACAAGCATGTCCCGAATCAATTCGCCGCTGCTCAGGGGTGGGCCCATGCTAATGTTACTCTTCACATGTTGCAGCGTCTGTGTTTCCATGCACCCTACTGCTAGCCGTAGGTCTTGAGCCAAGTCCTGTGGCTCCGACTGCAGATCCAGTCGTGGACGGCCCACTCGAGCTCAGCCGGAGGTCCTCGTAGCTCAGCCGGAGGTCCTCGTAGCTCTGCGCGTGGCCCTTGTTACCCAACTTGTGGTGGGCGTTGTTCAGCCGGTGGCCCCTGTTTGCTGGAGGTTCTCGTCGGACAGCCTGTGGCCCTGGTAGCTTCGCTGGTGGCTCTCGTAGCTCAGGAGGTGGCCCTGGTAGAACCGCTTGTGAATATCGTAGCTCACTCTGTGGCCCTCGTAGCTCCACTGGGCGCACGCGCGGCGCAGCTGATGGCTCTCGGAGCTCTGCTCGCGGCCCTCGTAGCTCAATTTGCTGCCCCCGAGGCTCAGCAGGGAACTCTCGAGGCTCTCCTCGCTCGAGGCTATCGCTGCTCAGCTTGTGGCCCTTGTAGCTCAGCTGGTGGCCCTCGTAGCCCTGCGCGTGACCCTTTTAGCCCAGCGTGTGGCCCTCGTAGCTCAGCTGGTAGCCCCCGTAGCTCTCGTAGCTGTGCCCGTGGTCCTCGTAGCTCAGCTCGCAGTCTTCGTGGCTATGCCGGTGGGTCTCGGGTGCCTCTGGGCCTCGTAGCTCAGCGTGTGGTCCTCGAAGGTCTGCTGGGGGCCGTGGTAGCTCTTCTGGTGGCTGTAGTAGCTGTGCCTATGATCCTCGTAGTTATATTTGTTGTCCTCGTTGCCCAGCTGGTGCCTCCGGTAGATCAGCTGGTGGTCCTTGTAGCTCAGCTGGTGGCCATCGTAGCGCACTACATAGCCCTCGTGGTTCAGCTGGTGGTTGTTGTAATCCTACTTGTGGCCTTCGTAGCTCAGCTTGCGAGACGCGTGGCTCAGCTAGTGGCTCTCGTAGCTCTGTTGGTGGCTCTCGTAGCTCGGCAGGTAGCCCGGAGGGAGCGGGAGCGGTGGCGGCCGCGACGCAATTGTGCGACGTGGGGCGCGAGATGCGTCTGGCAGTGGGCCTCCTCGAACCTTCCGCACGGACGTCCTCGAATGCTTCGGCCATGCCTTGAAACGAGGCTTCGCGGATTCGTGGTGGAACTGCCGCCTCCCGCCGACAGTGGGAGCGAGCGAATCCGTACCCGCACGGACGTCCTCGAATGCTTCGGCCATGCCTTGAAACGAGGCTTCGCGGATTCGTGGTGGAACTGCCGCCTCCCGCCGACAGTGGGAGCGAGCGAATCCGTACCGGGTCCTTCGTGGAGTGGCAATATCCTCATCCTCCACCTCCTCCTCCTCCTCCTCCTCCTCCTCGTCCTCCTCCTCTTCCTCCTCCTCCTCCTCCTCCTCCTCCC